AATATATTAGTTTTTTTTGTGTGTTTCAAATACCTGAGTTTGTTGTGTTTTGACTACCATAGTTCAGGCCTAGTAGTTTTTCAGGCCTTCATTTTTTTTAATACACTACCAGCATAGGCCTCAATTTTGAATATATTATTGTTTTTAATCCTTTATATTGTACTAGCTTATTACATAAAACAAAGGTATCATACAGGTTGTTTTTGTGTGTTTCAAATATCTGAGTTGAGTTTTGTTGTGTTTTGACTATCAGAGTACAGGCCTAGCCCTGCATTTGAATACACTATAGTAGGCTTCCATGCGGCTTCTTTTTGTATTTGAATGCTGATTTGATTCTTTTGTATCCTTCGGGCCTCCATTTTAATATACAAGCTTGGGCATCAGGCCTCAATTTGAATATAATAAAAGCTTTTTATAGTAGCTTTAAATACCTGAATTTGTTGTATTTTGTATACCATAGTTCAGGCCTAGTAGTTTTTCAGGCCTTCATTTTAATTTTATTTTAATAGACTCCCAGCATAGGCCTCAATTATTGTTTTTAATCCTTTATATTATACTAGCTAGCTTATTTTGCTACATAAAACAAAGGTATCATACAGGTTGTTTTTGTGGGCTTCAGATATCTGAGTTGAGTTTTGTGTGTTTTGACTATCAGTGTACAGGCCTAGCCCTGCATTTGAATACACTAGAGTAGGCTTCCATGCGGCTTCTTTTTGTATTTGAATGCTGATTTGATTCCTTTGTATCCTAGTGCAGACCTCCATTTTAATATACAAGCTTGGGCATCAGGCCTCAATTTTGAATATATTAGCTTTTTTATGTGTGTTTCAAATACCTGAATTTGTTGTGTTTTGTATACCATAGTTCAGGCCTAGTAGTTTTTCAGGCCTTCATTTTTATTTTATTTTAATAGACTCCCAGCATAGGCCTCAATTATTGTTTTTAATCCTTTATATTATACTAGCTAGCTTATTTTGCTACATAAAACAAAGGTATCATACAGGTTGTTTTTGTGGGCTTCAGATATCTGAGTTGGGTTTTGTGTGTTTTGACTATCAGTGTACAGGCCTAGCCCTGCATTTGAATACACTAGAGTAGGCTTCCATGCGGCTTCTTTTTGTATTTGAATGCTGATTTGATTCCTTTGTATCCTAGTGCAGACCTCCATTTTAATATACAAGCTTGGGCATCAGGCCTCAATTTTGAATATATTAGCTTTTTTATGTGTGTTTCAAATACCTGAATTTGTTGTGTTTTGTATACCATAGTTCAGGCCTAGTAGTTTTTCAGGCCTTCATTTTTATTTTATTTTAATAGACTCCCAGCATAGGCCTCAATTATTGTTTTTAATCCTTTATATTATACTAGCTAGCTTATTTTGCTACATAAAACAAAGGTATCATACAGGTTGTTTTTGTGGGCTTCAAATAACTGAGTTGAGTTTTGTGTGTTTTGACTATCAGTGTACAGGCCTAGCCCTGCATTTGAATACACTAGAGTAGGCTTCCATGCGGCTTCTTTTTGTATTTGAATGCTGATTTGATTCCTTTGTATCCTAGTGCAGACCTCCATTTTAATATACAAGCTTGGGCATCAGGCCTCAATTTTGAATATATTAGCTTTTTTATGTGTGTTTCAAATACCTGAAGTTGTTGTGTTTTGTATACCATAGTTCAGGCCTAGTAGTTTTTCAGGCCTTCATTTTTATTTTATTTTAATATCGTACTAGCTTATTTTACTACATAAAACAAAGGTATCATACAGGTTGTTTTTGTGTGCTTCAAATATCTGAGTTGAGTTATCAGAGTACAGGCCTAGCCCTGTATTTGAATACACTATAGTAGGCTTCCATGCGGCTTCTTTTTGTATTTGGATGCTGATTGGATTCTTTGTATCCTAGTGCAGACCTCCATTTTAATACTATTATTATTATTTTGTTTTGTTTTGTTTTTTAAATTTATTTTTTGTTTTTTCTTTCTCTAATCCTTTATCATAGTACAGGCTTAGAGAAAAATAAATAATAAATCATTTTAATTTTTTTTATATATATTTGTGTTTATATATATATATACACATATTATTTCAGGCTGCATTTGAATACACTATATACTTCCATACCTTATACTTTTTGGGTGTCTTGCATATCCTAGTTCTTGCTATTATATTTTAATAGGCACTATTGGTGTTGAAGTTAATTAGCAAGTATTACCTTCACCATACTAAGGTAAGTATAATTTGCATTGTGGGTACTAGCCTATTTTTCTACATATTACACCTGGCCTATTGAATAGTCATCAACTATTGTTGGCTACTCAGAAGCGTGCTACTTTAGTCGCAAATTGATTTGGATTCTTACTTGGGTGAGTAAAAGAGTAGGAATGTCTTTTCAAGGGGCCAAATACTTTTCCACAGAAGTGCGTGAGTACTTTAGGAAACATATTCAAAAACATGATGGTCCATATGAGCTTCCAGAGCCAGCAAACCCAGACAGTGAAAAAGAGGAGAGATTAATGGATGTTCTAACACAAATTGTAAATAACAAAAAGTATAGAACAAAGAAAAGAAAAAGTTTGGTCACACAAGCTGTTGTAGCCACAATAGGAGGCCTAATAGACTTAGTTGTAGAATTACGGCAGCATAATTTGGAAACAACAAATAAAATGGAGGAAGCAATGGACAAAAGGGATTGTTTAAAAATTGCAGCTTTGAGAACAACTACAATTGTTGGGGAACTAGAAAGGGAGTTAAGGGAAATAGAAGAGCAGAGGGATGCTTATGGAGTAAAAATAACAGAACTTCAAAACATAATAATGGACTATAAAAATAAAACAAAGTTAGAAGGGATAAAAGGAGTCAGAGACATTGCCAAAATATATCCAGATCTGGATTTGTTCGTGGCACAAAATAAAGAACCAGTGCCGAAAATGAACCAAGATAGAAAAGAGTTCTTATGTTATTCTGTTCCACAAGTAGATACCATACCACAAGCACCAGTTATTGTATCAGAATTATTTAATGCAAGGCAAGCACCTACAGGATTTTCTATGCAGACTCGACCGATGTCTATGGCAGATAAAGACAATTTCCAGAAATGGTGGGGAAGTATGCCAACTAACAACTTTAATACGTTTACACATTGGTTTATGAGGGGAGCAGATAGAGCTAAAAAAGGAGGTCTTAACTTAGAGGAATGGACAGAACTGTTAGAATACGCTATGGGTCCTTTGGCTAGTAGACTATTGGGATTTAATAACAGTGTGTCTGATCAGGCAGGAAGAATTGCTGCAACTAATTTCTATCTACTTAGCATAGAGAAAGAAATAGCAAATATTACCATGAGGCCAACAGATGGTCCTAGAGAGGTAGCTCAAAGGATATTTTTCTGGTATACTCTACGCCAACCTCAACAGCCTCTAGTGCTGGGCTCACCAGAACATATAGCAAAAGTAATGGAAGCCCTTCCCCGGGAGTGTCAAGAATTTGTCAGGCTTTTTGATCCAACACCAACAGACTTGGAAATGGTACTAACTAGAGCTGATAAGTGGTGGATCAAGCATCCTTTCACAGAACAGGCCTGCTCTGTTTCGGCTGTAAGAACATTTAAGGTTGAGTCTGGTAGAGATATAGATGGTAAATGGAGAAACCAGACGTGGGATGTACCCCAGAACAAGAAGGATGATCAAAACTGGAGACCAAAACAGAACTTTGACAAAAGATGGAGAGATCCACCGAGGGACTATAGGAATAGGGATGGCAGCAACTGGAGGGCTAATCAGGAGGGAGAGAGAAACGGTAACATGGGCTATTGGGAACTCAGGAGACAGAAGGATAGGATAGAAGAGGAAAATCACATACTTAAAAACAAGGTAGCTGAGTCAGAGAGGAAATTGAAGGAAAGTGAGGCAAAGATGCAATATAGTGTTATAAAAGAGGGACAGAGTAGAAGTGAGTCACAATGACAAATCCCAACCCCTGCGCCTCAGCATCTCATTCACTCAGCTAATTTAACCATGGATGAGGCAGGTCGGCCTACCATTTATACAGTCATCGCAGGGGTAGGGAAAAATATGTTGGTAGATACAGGAGCAGCAGTTACAATGACCAACAGGGTCAAAAATGGGGATTCTTCAGTAAGTATTATGGGAGTTACTGGGAATCCACAGGAGGTTAGAGCAGGTCCAATTGATGTAGCAGTCGGAGGAAAAACAATACAAGTAGAAGCAATAGTGGGTTGGCCAGAGGAAATATTGGGAATAGAAGCTTTAAAAAAAGGAAATTTCATTGTAGATCTTGCCAATTTTTGTTTGTGGAAGACAGAAAAGGTGAATCAGGTAAGTACAGAGTTGACGAAAGGGGCTGTGCTCCCAATGGCATATATTGTCTCTCCGATAAAAAGTCTGGAAAAAAACAAACTGAAACTAGACGGACAACCAGAATGGCTGCAGAAGCTAATCCAAGACATACCTGTTTGGGCTACAGATAAATTAGACTGTGGAAGAATGAAAGGAATGGTCTTGTTGGAGGGGGGAGACCCACAATGGCAAAAGCAATATCCAGTCCCAAGAGAATCAGTGACATCAATCACAGAGATGATAGAAATGCTGGAGAAACGTGGAATAATTAAATCTGGAAATGGGTATGCATGTAACTCACCATGTTGGCCTGTGAGAAAAGCTGTGTTAAAAGGGAACGGAGATGAAAAAGCAGCCTCATCATGGAGACTTACCATTGATTACAGGGCCGTGAACAAACTTGCAAAAAGAATGGCCCCTGTTGTTTCTGTTTATTGTGAAATGATGTCTAAAATTTCACCAGAAATGAAAGTATTCAGTGTAATAGATGTGGCCAATGGATTTTGGTCAATTCCCCTAGCTGAAGAATGCCACTACCGGACGGCATTCACCTGGGAGGGCCGACAATATGCTTTCACAGTACTACCACAGGGATATTGTGACTCCCCAGCTATTTTTCACACATACATGAAAAATGCATTGACAGCTTTCCCACGTCCAGATCGTATCATTCAATATGTTGATGATGTCCTCTTACAATCCCCGAACATGGAAGAACACAAAGAAGACCTTGCAATATTATTACAGTGCATACTGGAAGCTGGACTTAAGCTAAATGGGGCAAAGGCACAATTGGCATGCCATAAAGTCAACTTCTTAGGAGTAACCATATCAGGAGATGGACGATCAATTGATCAAGACAGGGCAAAAGTTATTGCTCAGTTACCCATTCCTACAGACCGTACAGCGCTCCAATCATTGCTTGGAATAATGGGATTTTGTCGTGAATTTACCCCACGATATGCTCAACTGGCACAACCCCTTTATGAACTCCTGAGAGCACAGAATTGGGATTGGACAGAGGAACACACATCGGCAGTACAAAAATTGAAGGCTGAACTAGGGAGCGCACCAACTCTGGCATCTCCAGATCATGAAAAAGAATTTAGACTATATCCGATTACAATGCCAGATTCACAAGGAGCAGTCATCACTCAACTGTGGGGACATGCAGAACGTCCAGTGGCTTTTGGATCTCAGATGCTGTCTGCCGTAGAGCTGAAATTTGGATGGTGTGAGAGATTGATCTTAGCAGCATACTGGGCAATTAGAAGATTTAAATACCTATTTGGCACACAGACAATAATAATCTGTACACATCATACTCCATTGCAGATCCTCAGACAAGGCAGCCTGGCAATCAGCCACATCAATAATGCCCGCATTCAGAAATGGACTATGGCACTGTTTGCTGATAACATTTCAACTCATGCCTTAAGAGAACCAAAAGAATGGGTGGCTGGAATTTGCATAAAGGGAGAAGCTCATGAATGCCAGATCTATCCTGAATCAACATGCCACGCGGTGTTCAAAGATGCCACTCATCTTGTGATTACCTCAGATCCTGTATGGTATACTGATGGCAGCTGTCACTATGCACAAGGAAAAAGAATATCAGGAATGGCCGGAGTAAAAATGTTGGGTAAAGATATCATAAAAGAATTTGGATTTAGAATCAAAGCATATTCAGCACAATATGCAGAACTGGCTGCAGTCATTGAAGTACTTCAGCAAGAGTCTGGAAGAAGTGACATATTGACAATTGTTTTGGATAGTGACTGGGTGTTCCGAGGCACGTGCCTTCTGCTAAAATGGTGGGATAGTAACCAATTCCTTGCCACAGATGGATCCCCTGTTAAGTTCCAAGATCTATGGCAGATGGTAGAAAAGTTATCACAAAATTTCAAAAGAGTTAACATGATAAAAGTACGGGCACATAAAAAGACAGGGCCACACCGAGAGGGAAACTACCTTGCTGACCGGTATGCAAAAGAGGCAGCTGTCCAAGCAGAAGACTGGAAACCACCCACAAAAAACACATTACAAATAGCTTCTACTACAAGGAGCAAATCTTCATTTATTTCAATTAGGATGAAGCAACTGCAGGAATTACAAGATCAAGATGAGGAACTAAAAGATATTCGGGAGAAATTACAAAAGGGAGAAGAAGTGATATACGGGGGCAAAAAAGTGATGGAGGAGCAAGGGCTAATATGTATATCAGAAACCGGGGAACCGATTTGGATTGTACCACAACAAGTAAGAAAAGACTTACTCCGATGGATACATGGATCACAAGCAGGAGGACATCCAAAGATCAGAGAAGCAAAAGAGAGGATTCGACATTTGGGATGGTGGATTGGGCAAAACAAGGATCTTGAAGAGTTTGTGGATAGTTGTATTATATGTGCAAGATTTGACCAGTCCAACAAGAAAAGAAGGGGAGAATTAATGAGACAGACACCTGTAGGCCCATGGGAAAGAATTCAAATTGATTACACCGGACCATTGCCAACAACCACAAGAGGAAATAAATATATTCTCATGATAGTAGATAGCTTCTCAAGATGGATGATCGCAATCCCAACAAGAAACTGTACAGCACTAACCACAGCCAGGAAATTAGTAAGCGATGTACTGACAGTGTGGGGAATTCCAAAAGTCCTTGATTGCGACAATGGAGCTGCATTCATAGGAAATGTAATGAAGGAACTTTGTAAGATGGTGGGTATTGAACTGAAACACCATATCCCATACCATCCACAGGCAGCAGGTCAAGTTGAGCGAATGAATGGCACCATAAAAAGAGAGCTGAAAAAGCTGGTGGCAGAACATGGGCAAGCTTGGGACATATACATACCTTTAGTATGTGCCCGACTTAGATCAAGGCACTGTAGATCAACAGGATTTTCACCATATGAAATTTTAATGGGTAGACCAATGCCCTCCTGGCAAAACTGGATGACAATACCTCCACCTGTAGCTTTACAAACTGCTGCAATCACAGATCAATGGGTAAAGGAGTTGGCCACACACTTGGAAATTGTTCATAAATCTGTAGCTGTGGAAGATGAAGAACAATACCAACATCGAAAGCGATGGTATGATGCAGCAGGGGATCTGACATCATATGAGGCAGGGGACCGAGTTATGGTGCAGAATCAAGATGAACACCTTCCTTGGGGAAGAGCAAAATGGAAGGGACCATATACTGTAGTAGATAAATTAGGGACCTCTGTATACTTGATTGATCACGCAGAGAAAGGAGAGGTCTGGCTGCATGCATCACAGCTTAAAAGATTTAGGAAGGACAAAATATGGAATAGAGGTTAAGTACAAATTGAATAAATAAATGCGAAATTTTTTTTTTTTTTTTATTTTTTTATTTTATTTTAATTTTTTTTTTATTCTGTTTTTATTTTTATTTATTATTCTTTGTGTGTGTATGTATATGTTTCTAATGATGGAATCTAGTGTTCCCACAGAGCAAGGCTGTATAAGAATGAAGATGCGTGTCAACAGAAGATTGTGGTGGATCCTTGTTACAGGATGGATAAGTATAAGCTGTATCACAGTAGGAATGGGGAGACAGGCAATAAGGCCAGAAGATACCGCAAATAAGGGAGAGAGTTTGAAAAGATTGGAGTTGCATTACGTTCAAGCAGATAGATTTATTTGGCCCAGGGAATTGGAAGTAAAAGAGGGTGGAGGGTTACAAGTAAACATTATTTTGCCACATAATAGTACCAGGGGATTAGCTCTTAGAGCTCCAATAAAAAGTATAGAGGGACATAACTGGGAATGGGTTATAAGATATGGACAGATAATGAACACAGGAAACTTTAAAGGAAGGACTAAAATAACAACAAAGGTACAAGGGAGGTTTACAAATACTACAGTAGTAGTGGGTAACTTAACATTAGAAGAAGGTGGCGAATGGGACGCTGCAGTTATAGCTGCCCAGCCTGACCTAGAGGAATTCTGCAATTTTGATACTGGAAAGGGGTGTGTTCTAACAATAGATGAAGTATTTGTCTCTGTAAAGGAGCTGCAACGTTGTAAAGATCAGAAGAAGGTACCATGGCCAATAGGCGGATTGGTGGTGGTACCAACACATGAAACAGTTGTTCAAGGGGTTGGGTGGACTTATTACCCAATAATTCTAAATTTTAATGATTTTTCTATTCCTCCAAAGTGCCCGGAATCACAGCAGCAGTGGTTTAAGCAAAGTATACAAGAGACCATCATTGAGTGGACCGGAGCAGGGAGTCGAGGAAAACGGGACACACTTGCAGCCCTTTTAGGAGGAGTCGGAACTGGATTGGGAGTATGGAATTCAGCAGACATCATTGGACTGAACAGCAGGATAAACTCCCTTACTGATGGCATGGGACATGCTATGAAAATAGGTGGAGTAGCTGACTCCCTTATAGTGAGTAGACTGACAGACAATGTTGATGACATACACACCATTGCCAACAACCTGCATCTAGTTGAGGAAAATATTGCTTCCATTGCCAGCAGCATTAAGAATGAAATAGTGGGAACTGCCATTTTCTGTTCTATGATTGGAGGAAAGCTGTTGGCAGATTTAAAGGAAACTATTAAAGACATTCAGGAAAACAAGTGGGCAAGACAAATCAATGCAACAAGGATTATCACGTCATTGAAAAGAAAAGGAGTGGACATCACTGAGGACAATCTTAAATACAGCTATATTGAAGGCCCAGATCAATGGATGCCACATGGACTACAATCTGGGACAATAGGACTAATCCTGGCAATTCCCCGTTGGGAGGGGCAGGCAGAGCAACTGAACTTTATACATAGCATTGGCACATTAAGTGATGGAATCTACAAGCAACACTTTCCATCAAAAAGACTGGCCACTATTACAGGATTGGAGATGGATGAAAGCTGTTGCAGGAAATCTCAACACCGATGGCTGTGTAGTTGTGTTTGGGAGAAAGGAGCTGAGGAGGATGGCTGGGTGCAGTTGATAAAAGAAAACCTGGTGCGAGAGGTGATCCGCATAGGGGACATTGCATGCTTTATCGGCCACTCTGAATATAGGACAGTTGATGAAATATGTTTGGTGGAAGAAGGGTCTTGTATCATGGTAACCACTACTATACATGTAGGAACTCATACACTATTTCCATCAAGAAACCTTACCACTGAAATGATCAATTTTACTGCAAATGCAGATTGGACAAACTTGACAATGAAGCTTTTTCCCCCAATTCCAAAGCTTACCTTGGAACTTCATGAGTTAGTAAAACGTACCAAACAACAACTACACCCCATCAGCTTACTGCTGGAACAACAGCAAAAGGAAATAGAAATTACTAAAAAAAACGTTGAGCATCCCTGGTGGGGAATTCTTACCAATGCAGAGACACATCCAGTCCTACGAACACTGTCACTGGTACTCATGTTCATTCAAGTATTAACGACAATTATAATAATATACTTTTGTGTGGCAATGAAACAAATGAGGAAGAAACTTGCAAGGAGGATATATAACAATGAAATTTAAATGTTTTTGTCTTTTTCCTCTTCTTTCTCTCTCTCATACATTCTTCAATAAAGTCTTACATTGCACATACATAAACATTTATCACACACACACTCACCTAAATTCTATAAGTTCTGTTTTTATGTAATATGTGGATTGACAGCCATAGGAAAGTACAGGAGAACTTATGTCGCTGAGGGAACTATTCCGGAGGGACGGTGGGTTGAATTTCTCCTGTATATCAGGTTTTTGCTCCCACTAGGTTCTCCTGTACTAGAGGGATAACTAGAAAACTGAGCAACATAGAAGAAGAAAAAGTGAGGGAATGTGGTAACTTGTCTTCCTTGCATGGTAATTTATCTTCCTTTCAGGACCTCCTTAAACAGGTCTAGGTAGGAGGGCTAAGAATCTTTACTTCCCTCCCACAATTGCTAAAGGAAGTGATGCATGGACAGGATGTGATGTAAAACACATCATCTCAACTAAGGGTATATAACATAAGGCCAGGCAGGAAATCTTTCTGTTGCTTCCTTTTCTTCCTTGGTGGATGTGATGTTGAACTTGCAGCAGTGAGCCATTACTAGATGTGAAGGCCTAACCGTGGGTGAGATCAAGCGTGTGTGGAAGGGGTTACTATATAGATAGATAGATTTAAAAGGGTTGTTGCTCCGTGGGTCTGGGCTGTGTGTTTGTGATACATTTATAGTATTGTGTTGTTGCCTTTTAATAAATACCTTTTAATGTAGACGAACCTTGTGTAATATATATATTAATTTGGTGATACACCACACCGGGCACACTGCCAAACCAGTTGGAACTGACTGCTTTTGTCCCTCCTTGCTATGCTTTACCCCATGTCAAATTTACTCTGTTCATGGGATCTGAGCGTTGTTCACCTAGATTGGGTGCTCAGATCCGAGCTATCTGGGGATAGGTTAAATGTGGGAGTTCTGTGTAATATAATAAGAATTATGTATTTTAATGTACTTTTACGTATTTTTGCTGTTAGTGTAAAATGCAGATATTTTCTGTACCTGGAGATAATTGAGTTTACTGCAGTGCCTTAAGCCAATTATGTCCAGGATGGAGAGGAGGGATTTCATTGTGTATGTGGGAGTGTTATTATGTTAATTAGTGTTCCCATTGGTTTGTGTCCCTTTTATCACCGTTTACCACCAGGTCCAGGGGGTGTGCCTCTGGCCTGAAAACTTGTATATAAGGAGTAATAAACGCTCATTGGAGTCAGATCATGTATCTTGTATCTTCATGAAGTTTCGGCTCATGTTTGGGGGATTTGAGAACTACACTCTGGGGGTTTGCTATAATCACTATACTCCCCAGGGTATGATCACTAAGCTCTGCTAAGAGCTTGTTCCTGTTCCTGCTCTCTGGAATTCGGAGAGGTTGACCTACTGGAAGCTGGACCCTGGTCTTGGGTCCAGAGTGGGTGGAGACGGCGAGACCCCAACCAAGCTGCGGCGGTTCGTGGAAGTCTACAGTGGTTATGGTGTCTGGCGGAGTGCTTGGAGTCCTCGGAAAGCACTAGGAGCATCAACGGAAGGTACCCGGTCGGGGTGCCAGCGGTTCCGTTACAACGGGCATGATCTATAGACCAAAATTGCTTTATTAATCTAATGTTGTGTTGGTGACTATAGTGTCCCTTTAAAGAAAATATTAAATTATTAAATTATTAAAATATTCAAATATTAAATTAAAATCCCTATTCAGTATATATATATATACAGGGAGTGCAGAATTATTAGGCAAGTTGTATTTTTGAGGATTAATTTTATTATTGAACAACAACCATGTTCTCAATGAACCCAAAAAACTCATTAATATCAAAGCTGAATATTTTTGGAAGTAGTTTTTAGTTTGTTTTTAGTTATAGCTATGTTAGGGGGATATCTGTGTGTGCAGGTGACTATTACTGTGCATAATTATTAGGCAACTTAACAAAAAACAAATATATACCCATTTCAATTATTTATTATTACCAGTGAAACCAATATAACATCTCAACATTCACAAATATAAATTTCTGACATTCAAAAACAAAACAAAAACAAATCAGTGACCAATATAGCCACCTTTCTTTGCAAGGACACTCAAAAGCCTGCCATCCATGGATTATGTCAGTGTTTTGATCTGTTCACCATCAACATTGCGTGCAGCAGCAACCACAGCCTCCCAGACCCTGTTCAGAGAGGTGTACTGTTTTCCCTCCTTGTAAATCTCACATTTGATGATGGACTACAGGTTCTCAATGGGGTTCAGATCAGGTGCACAAGGAGGCCATGTCATTAGATTTTCTTCTTTTATACCCTTTCTTGCCAGCCACGCTGTGGAGTACTTGGACGCGTGTGATGGAGCATTGTCCTGCATGAAAATCATGTTTTTCTTGAAGGATGCAGACTTCTTCCTGTACCACTGCTTGAAGAAGGTGTCTTCCAGGAACTGGCAGTAGGACTGGGAGTTGAGCTTGACACCATCCTCAACCCGAAAAGGCCCCACAAGCTCATCTTTGATGATACCAGCCCAAACCAGTACTCCACCTCCACCTTGCTGGCGTCTGAGTCGGACTGGAGCTCTCTGCCCTTTACCAATCCAGCCACGGGCCCATCCATCTGGCCCATCAAGACTCACTGTCATTTCATCAGTCCATAAAACCTTAGAAAAATCAGTCTTGAGATATTTCTTGGCCCAGTCTTGATGTTTCAGCTTGTGTGTCTTGTTCAGTGGTGGTCGTCTTTCAGCCTTTCTTACCTTGGCCATGTCTCTGAGTATTGCACACCTTGTGCTTTTGGGCACTCCA